TAGTTTATAATATTAATAATTATAGTAATTATATACAAAATAATTGAAATAATTTTTTAATTATAATTTTAAATAATATTTATATAAAAAATTTATTTTTAATTATATAAAAATTAATATATTACTTTATAGAGTTATTTATATTAATTTATAAAATTATTTTTATTATTTAAAATTATTTTTCTATTTATAAAATCTTTAAATTAAAGATTAAAAATTATATAATAAATTAATTAAAAGTTTTTATAATAAAATAAATTTTAAAAATATTTAATTAAAAATAATATTTATATTAAAAAATATAATATTATTTATATTTATTTATAAATAAAACTTAATTATTTTGATTTTATATAGATAGTTATATAATTATAACTATATTAGATTTAATTATTGTAAAATTAAAAACTTTATTATAATATTAAATTATAATATAAAATATCAGATTAAATTAATTTTATTAAAAATTTTAAATAAAATAAACTTTTTATTTAAAATAGTTTTTTTAAAATAAAAATAAAAATTATTAAATAATGAAACAACATTAATAAAAAGTATATTTATAATAAATATTATTATTATTATTATTATTATTATTATTATTATTATTATTATTATTATTATTATTATTATTACTTTTAAATATATATAATTAAAAATTATTATATTTACTTAATTTAACTAGAATTAATTATTTTGTGATTTTAATTAATAAATATAATTTAAAATATACAAATAGCAGTAGTCAGCTAAGTTATTATATCTCAAAGTTCAATTTATAATATTTTTTCTCATGAAGTTTATTGCTGATTTTTACAGAATCTATTACTGAAAAAGTTTTTAAAATTATATAGATATATATATTAAGATACTTTTATATTTTATACTGAGGTTTATGATTGAGTTGTAGAATTATTCAACATTAGTAAATAAAAATATTAGCAATAAATTATATAAATTGAGATTGTTAAAATCTTCAAATCTTTTATAGTCCCAGCATCTTCTATGACTGATTATAAAGATGTACTAAATCTCTTCATTTGTGAGCAGTTCTATATCATATGTAAAACTTTGATAGAGTTAATTTTCTAAAATTAAAATTATTATTTTCTTCTGCTATGACAGAAGAAATAAATGAATATGAATAATTTTCAATATAATAAACTAGTCCCAGAGAACAATTAATAACTAATACATATAAAAACAAAAAAAAAAATTTTAAGAAAGAAAATGAAAGACAGATCATTTAATTAAAGATTAAACTTTCTTTATAAAAACAAAGCTTCAGCAGTAAAAGAACTTACATGAGAATAATTAAGACGCTATCTCAGTAGCAGAGACATAAGGGTGAAGTTTCAGTAGTTGGAGATATATGTAAAAATGATTGAAGCACTGCTTTAGTAGAAGAAGGCTGCCTTAGTATGGAGACATGAGAGCGAAGCTTCAGTACTTAGAAGCTTATAACTATATAAAGGGCTATGCCCTCGTTAACCCTCATTGATACTCAGGCTCTGCTTTCGTATGATCGAAACAGCGCTATCAAGGCAGCGCCTCCACCACTGAGACATTGCCTCAATCATCCCCATACAAGTCCCTAACTACTGAAGCTCCGCCTTCGTGCCTCTGCTACTGAGGTGGTGCTCGACTACTGAGGTGTTTCCTCAATCATCCTCATACAAAGCCCCTTACTACTGAAGCTCTGCCTTTTATAAAGGAAGCCTGATCCCTACATGATCTGTCTTTCTGTTTCCTTCTTTAATGATTTCTTTTTGTTTTCAAATGTGTTAGTTATCAGCTGTTCTCAGCAACTAGCTCATTTCATTAAGAATTGTTCAACTCATTCATTCCTCCTGTCATAGGAGAAGAAAACAGTGATTCGAGACTTAGGAAGCTAGCTCCACTGAAGCCCTACACATGGTATAGGGCTGCTCACAGAGGGAGAGATCCAACACATCTCTACAATCAGCCACAGGAGGTGCCAAGCGTGTGAAAGGTCTGAAGACCCTGGTGACCTCAGTTTATGTAATTTACCACTGACATCTCTATCACTAGTGATGAAGAATTCTACAACTCAATCATGGACCTCAGCATGGGACATAAAGATGCCTCAGCAGATGCACCTGCATGACTTCAAGAACTCCAGCAGCAAGCCCTGCGAGGCCAGCAACAGGCTTCACGAGAGGAGGCATTTTGATTTGAGCTCTGAGCTCTGAGATCTGAGACCTAAGAGCTCAGCTGGCTGCTTGCTACCAGTACGCCTGTCATGGACACCACTCAACCATCTAACAGCACTCCCCTCCACCCTGAGCAGAATCGTCTGAAGGAGAAGCTCACTCCACTTGAAACCTTTGATGGGACTGATCTGGCCAATAACCCCCCTGGCGACTCAACGCCATGGCCAAACTCCGTGTAGATGGCAGAGCTATTTGGCTCTCTTAATGACCAGGCCTGTCTTTCTCTTGCAACCTTCCTCCCAACCTTTGACCAGAAGATCCTAGAAGCCAAAGGACAGTTTGGGATCACGAAATCAAGATCAGCATGCTTCAGAAAGCGCTTAACTTGGATCTTCTAAAGGAAATGGTCTCGCAGGTCGACACAGACAACAACGTAGAGTATTGCACCAAACTCAGTATGATCGAGAATAAACTTCTCCAGGAAAAGGCCATTCAGAACTTTGGCCAGAGGTTCACCTCAACTGCCCCTCGTACTACCACCACCGCGTCCGCTGATGCCATGGACTGGCAACCCAGCACGACATATCTGGCCTCCCATGCCAATGTCACTATTACCGGGAAGCCTTTCGGAGTTTCTGGGATTACCGGTGCTGACGATGCAGAAAGACGTACTCAGGGCGTATGCATCAACTGCGCGAAGCCTGGGCACATTGCCTCGCGCTGCACTGACTCATTCATCCCTGTCAAGCGCTCTGTACGTGCTAGCCACGCCTCAGCTCAGGAAGCCCCCAAGGACCCTCAAGAAAAAAGGATTGAAGGCACTCATTCAGAGCAGGGAAAAGAGTAATTTTCGCCAAAAATCACTGACAAGAGTTAACGCAGAAGGTCTGGAGAACTTTTGAGGAAAAGATGACTGTTAATGCGATATGTGTTCCAGCATGTAAGACCTGAGTGCCTTCGTCCAGCATGTAAGGCCCCAGAGCCTTCGTCCAATGTAAAAGGCCCGAGTGCCCAAGAGTTTCTTTTTCTAATCATGGATTACGCCCCTTCTTCCTTTCACACGGTTACAACCTGGAGGTTCTTGATATCCCTGAGAAGACGCAATACCACGAGAATCCCCGGAGCCCGATACAGATGGCCGACTCGATCGTTCATAAGCTTCAAGGAGCTCACGAATGGACATAAGCTATGATGGCCAATGCTCAGCAAGCGCAAGAGAAACATGCCAACAAGCACCGACAGCCTGCTGAACAGTTCAATGTCGGAGACAAAGTCTGGTTAAGCCTTGAGAATATACAAACTGACCGGCCCTCCGCTTTTCCCCAGACGTCCTTCATGCAAAACACATAGTTCTTGAAGCCCTAGGCAGCCATAACTACCGTCTAGACACACCTCCTAGCATCCATGATGTCTTTCATTCGAACCTCCTTCAACGAGCTGCCACTGACTCGCTACCCTCTGAAAACGGTACGATGGGCAATCGCCAGGGCTACTCACTGAAGACAATGAGCTTGAATATGAAATAGAAGAAATCCGCAATGAACGAATGAACCACCACTGCCAGGAACTACCGCCGACCCACCCCCCAAATCTTTCTCAATGCTCCACCCGCCACCACTTGGTACGATTGAAGCAGCGCTACCAAGGCAGCGCCTCTACCACCGAGGCAATGCCTCAATCATCCCTGCATAATTCTCTAACTACTGAAGCTCCGCCTTCGCGCCTCTAATACTGAGATGGTGCTCTACTACCGAGGCATTGCCTCAATCATCCTCATACAAAGCCCCTTACTACTGAAGCTCTGCCCTTTATAAAGGAAGCCTGATCCCTACATGATCTGGCTTTCTTTTTCCTTCTTTAACAAATTCCTTTTTGTTTTCATACATGTTAGTTATCAGCTGTTCTCAGCAACTAGCCCATTACATTATATGAATAGAGTGTAAGCGCTGTCTCAATAGCACTGTCTCAATGATGCTACTTCAATAGTATGAAAATGAAACACAAGTATTGTGAGAGTTAGAGCATAGCTCTTTATATCATCTGTCTTTTAATGAAAAAAGTAGAATGATAGAAATAATGTGAAAGTTTACTTATTTTTTATTAATAATTAATAATTATTAGTTATAATCTTATATAAAGATGATAGATATTTTTAAAAATAAAATAAATGAAATATAATTATAATATATAAATATTTTAATACTATTTCTTAAAAAGTTGAAAAAAGATTTTAATTATTTTTAACAAATAATTCTAAATTTTAATAGTATTTAACTAAAATAGAAAATTATCTGATTATCAATAGATGCTACAGGTCAAAGCCTCTTGCTGTCAGATTCAGATAGAAAGTGTCTCAGTATCAGAGATGCAAATAGAGGGATCACCCAGTGTAGGGGGGGGAGGGGGGGGGGGTATGTTAGAAAGCGCAGGAAGGGGGGTGCATGGGGATTAAGTTAATGAAGATTGACAATGATGCACTCTCATCGCCTTCTGAAGCTGCAAGAAAAATGAATAAATGCCGACTCATACACAAAATGATGTAGATCATCTTATTTTTTTGTGGATTAGCTACTGGTTGTTAATGAATGAAGCTATCTTTTTAACGTAATTCTTGATTTTTATCATGATGCTGTTTTTATCGTTCCAGTGTGGCGCGTTCACTAGAGGTGAGTAACTTAGCAGCGGTAACACCGAATTTACCAATTACATTGTATTTTAACAATTAAAATCGGTGCAGGGGATAAATTAGTCTAACCATCCTTATTAATTATATTTTATACTAGTTATATACATATATTTATTTATTTATTTATATTTATTTATTATAGTCCTTAGTTTATCTGGGCAATGCAGGGGTAGGATGAAAAGGAACCCATGAAAACTGCAAAATAAAGCTATGTCCAACATGACAAGGAAAGCCGCAACTTTTAACAAGAAATCCCGGAGATGATAAGCGACCGGAAAGCAATTATGTAAAAAGAGGAGAAAAGTAAAAGACGGGAATGGGTGAATGAAGATTGGAAGAGAAGGAAATCACCCCTTCCGCCCCTTCAACATCTCCCATCCAACAGTCCCGCCCCGCCCCTCCTTCTCCGTCACCTCCTCAACAGCCTTCACAAGATCATAGCAGATCTTCTCCGAGACCACACTATCCTGCTTATAATCCGGATGCCTAGCGACGAACTCGCGAATCCACTTCGCATTCGTCCACAGGCTGCCATCTGCGCGTCGTCTTATTAACTCCAGATACGTAGCCAGCTGACAGCGGGTTTCTACATCAACATTGACGCTGTTGAGATACGATTCGACGAGCGGGATTAGCCCGGGAAACCCGTCCTGGGTGCCGTTGATGATATCTGCGACAGTCATGAGTTCGTATTCGGATTCTATGGGGCGGAGGTGCGGGGTTGAAGGGGACGAAGAGGCGCGGGAGCTAGATTCTGATGCGTTGCTGCTTGTGCTGTTGGTATTGGCAGTGGGGTTGACGTGCTGTTGCTGCTGATGCTGATGCTGATGCTGGTATTGATTTCGCGGGATGCGGTGTGGGAAGGGATCCTTTCTGAAGTAGAATTTCTGCTCAAGGAGGGCGTTGCGCGCATGGGCAGTTTCCATATTCTCCGTAGTGCGCGGGATGGGTATGTACAGGTTCAGATCGAAGCTGAGAATGGCTCGAGTAATCAGCACCATGAAGACGCTGAAGGCTGCGTTTTCAAAATCAGTAATTTGAATCTCCATGGGGCGGAATTCGACGCGCCAGCCAATGTCGTTGTCAGCTGGCGGAGGCTTGAAGCGGATGTGCTGCCAGTTTGTCGACTGAAGGTTCTCGAAGTGGTTGGTTTTGTTGAGGTCGAGTTTTTTGAGATCTTCGGCAAAGACTACGATTGGGTCGCGGATAAAGAGGTGCGCAAAATGTGTAGCCAGAAGGTCATCCATGCCACCGTCCAGGAGTCGCTTTTTAATATCTTCGTCTATGACGAGGTCTGGATCCATGTATTCGGGTCGTAGTCGGGGATCTTGGGAAATATATGTGGAATTTGAGGCATATCTTGACTTTGGGATGCGCCAACGGTCATTTTTCAGCGGCTGTTCTCATTCTATTAGCAGATGAACATCAACCTACCGAGATTAAAAGTTCTACATACCTTTTCTCCCTGCTCTTCAGCAGTCCGGCAATCCACAGCATTACTTATTTGGTTCCACCGAACGTCAGTGTCAACCAAGAAACCCTTGTAAATTGGCGTAGCAGCAGTCAACGCTAGCATTATCGGCCCCAGGGGACTCAATTGGTCGTAGAGCTTTCTTCCCTCCGTAATGTTTTTACACTGAAATGTGATTTGCAGGCAGCAACTCCCCATGCCAAACGCCATGGCATCCATATAAACATGATTTTGTTTCACTGCACCATTGCGCACGTCATCGTCTTCGGGCCAGTTGTGTAAGTCGTAGTTGACGGTAGGATCGTTGAAGGGCCACGGGGTATTCTTGTCTCGAAACACGGGTACATTGATCTTTACTTTCCGCCCTCTTCGAGATCGGATATTTGCAGCTAGTGTGGGGAAACGGATATGCGGGTTTGCTATTTCATCGGGAACGAATTGAGAACGGAGCGTGGGGCCAGAGACTGGGTAGAATGGCTGGGTGAAGTCATCCTTCGTACCTAGCCTTGGGAATGTGGTAATGGTAAGGGGATATTCATTCGGTGCCATATGCTTCTTCGCAATAACCCGCCTATATCATGTAGTTACGGTGTGTTTTTATGTCAGCCATTTGGTACGGCCGTAAATATGCAGCAGCATAAAAAGAAAAACGAACCTCCATTTCATATTCGACTTCACTCTCAAGAGGTCCTTGAATCCAATCCCCCATGGCTGTCCCGGTGTAGCCTCTAGCATAAACCGTCCAAACTCCGGGTGAAACTTGGGAAGTGGTTCCTTTCTACGGAGCAGCAAACAAAAAAAAAAAAACAAGTTAGCCTATGCAGACGACAACGTGACGGCACAACGAAGGCGAGTGAAGAGATTTTTGCATACATCCCAACCTGCAACCCTTCCACCAATTGCCCATTCGACTGCTCTTCTTCCTGCGCGAGCGAATTTAAGATATCCGCCTGTCGCAGCGACAATCGCACTTTCTGCGCCTTCTCATCCACGGCCACGACCAGGTATTCGATCTGATACCCGTGAACTGTCAGCAGCAGCTCAAGCAGGAAAAGAAGAAATAGAAAAGGAAAAAGAAAAAGAAATAAATATCGAACGTGGAAGGTCGGTTGGCTTACCTCGTCACCCCAGAGCAGCGCATCTCGTTCCTTTCCCTTTGCCTTGCCCCAGATAGCCAGCAGTTGCTAGGACGGAGAAGAGGGTCAGTTTATTAATTCCATTTTGCCATTTCAATTTTTTTTTTATTATTATTATTATTATTATTTATTCTTTTTCTTTTTCTTTTTTTTTTTTTTTTTTGGCAAACGTTGGAAAATGGAAAACAGCGCCGTACCTCAATTCCCCATTCCCTGACTTGTTGTGCATTCTGCTTCGCCCCCGGCCAGGCCAGCGGAGTACCAAGCGCTCTATGCAAGAGACATATCTCATCAGTGAGGGTTCTATTTTTCCAGAGTAGTTGTTGGTGGGAATGGTGTTTTCGTACAGCAGGCCCATGACGACAGGGACTGTCGCATGCAATTAGCTCTTCGGGGGAATGGTTGGGAGAAGGGAATGAGAGCAGAAATGAGATGGGAAATGATGTATGAGAGATAAAACTCTCACGGCGAAGGAGGAAAATGAGGAGGAAAAGAGGAAGAGGCTCGGTTTGGTACGGAGGACGGAGGAGGGGAGGGATTCGTTATGAGATCTTTTTTTACTTTTATTATTATTATTATTATTATTATTATTATTTATTTATTTTATTTTTCTTTAACTTTTAATTTTTCCCTAACACAAAACCCAGCGTTTCTTTCGCGCCGGGCGGCGAAAATATGCTCGATGCAGCTCTATGTATAGGAACAAACCCTCCCCGTAAATGGAGGAAAACGAGGGAAATGCGATTAACAAGGGATTGTTTGTGTGATGCTGCGATCTTTATATACCCAGAAAATAGTTCGATCGAGTACATATAAATGAATAATTGCCCCGTGTATTGATATTCTCTTTGTGTTCCGTGGGTTCTCTAGACTCCGCCTCCTGGAGTAGTTAACTATTAATTAATAGGTGGGGGCCTGCTCGCACGGATACGGGGGGATGAGTTCTTTTTGGTGTCAGTTCTCTCTCATTCCTGTTTTCCGGTTGTTGTTGTTGTTGTTGTTGGCGACGCTATTTACACTGGCGGGTTGAAAAATACCTTACCCTGCTATGATTCACAGATATTAGTGAGATAAAAACCACCAGAGATAATAACTACGACAAGAGATAGTTCTGCTTGTCAACTTACCTTAGTTCAGCAAAAGAACCAGACGTCGAATTAACCCACGCAGGTGACCCTAAATATTATAACCGGGCTGGGCTTACGGAGGACATCACAGGGAGATTGAAGCATGAACGAACAGTCTGCGGAATCCGAAACCTAGAACTATCCCTACGGCATTCAATTGGGCTCTTTCACGGGAGGGCAGGATAACAGGGAATACCATATGCGTCCTTCGTCATGTTTCCCCACGCTTATCGTTGCCTGTGAAGTTGCATTTCTGGACTGGAATTGAAGGGTTTTTGGGGTAGCCAGCTGGCATAGCGAATGAAAGGAACGATTGTGGCGGAATTAGGGCCGATGAAGTGCACTGGACATCGAAATCAATCAACCGAATCATCAAGAGCAAAAAGCTGATAAATCCAACGGAGAAAAAGATCCATCTTATTCGACTTGGGCTGTATGGTCTCCACTGCCGGCTTATAAATCACACATAGCAGTGTAGCATTGATGTTCGTAATGATAATGATGATAACTATTATTAATGAATAAAATATGTGCATTGTGGTTCAATTAGTTTTTTGTGCACCGTTTCTTTTCTTTTTTGTTTAATCTTGGCCGGATCATCCCTTGCAAACAAAATATATCTCTGAATCCTTGGCTGCGATTCCTGTGCGATGGAATCGTTCTGGCCTTCCTAGTATCGTGCAACTCAGCTCCGCGGTGACTGGGTCACAGGGCATCCACTCTGAAAATCAAACGAGCCGGGATAACTCTGTCTGCTCCTATGTCTCTCTCTACTGCTGAGTATGAGAACCTCTGATATGGCCCATAGAAGTGCAAACGCGTGAATGAAGAATGACGAGTTTTTGAGAGTGCACTGAGCTTTGAACAAGCAGCAAACCAACAACCAAGTTCCCGTTTCTATATTATATGCAACAGAGCAGTCTTTCCCGAAACCAACCGGATCAACCGACCGTCTAAGATGAAAAATAAAATAAACAAATACAGCAAGTCCAGACCTTTCCCTCCCGCCCAGCACCACCTCCTGTCCTGGTGTCTAGTTGCTTCTGGCACCGCCCTTGGCAGCCCGTAGCTCATCCATCTTCGCAACCCGTAACTTGAACTCTTCATACTGGCACTTTTCGTAGGAATGTCTCTCCTTCTATCACCCGTTGAATATATATGTCAGTATGCAAATGGAGTACCGCGTGTTAATAGATCCATACTAGCCGACAAATCGTTATGTTGCAACGGTGTAAAATACGTTTATCCATACCTCGCACTTCCATGGCAGATAGTATTCTTCGTATCGACACCGGTTCAGAGGGATTAGGAGGTGCGCACAGCTATCTCGATAGGCAAGAGGCAACCGAGCCTCAGCCATTTGTTCTCTTGTTGCGGCTGCGTGGATGGAATTGACATAATGGAATGGGTCAGCAAGATGGAGGTAGCTCATCAACACCATCGAAACAGCGGGACTCACGTTTGACATCTGTAGCCACCGCTGCATGTGCCATGGTTGCAGGGGCTGTCTTCCTCCCAGCAGAGACGGAGTCAATTGTCATATATTTATTTACCAACGGAGGTGTATGTGTCTGTGTCTGCTGTAGATCCAATTGTTCCCACCAACACATCTCTCCCCTCTCCTCTCTTCTATGTAATTGTCCTCACTGCAAAGGCGGTGATTGACGGCAGCCGGAAGCCCAGTTGTTCCGGGCCCGCAAACCCAATCTGCTTTAGTGAAGGAAGTTACCAGCCGGCCCCCTTCCCACTTTACGCGAGAAATCAGCCTCAAGTCGCGTCTCCCCATCGCCAGCAGCCGCCAACCAACTCGCACACTCCGACACGCTCCAACAACCCGCTGTCCATGCTCTGAGGGTCTCCGCCGGCCGTTGGGAGTAAAATCAGCTGTCTGGTAGTTATCTTCTCTCTTGTGCTGCGTGTTTTGTTTGCGCGATTTCTATAGTTACTCTCTCCTCCTATTTTCGAATATCATCTGTCTCTCGCTCACATTTGATACCCTGTGCTTTCAATTGGTGGTCAGTCCGGGGGTCACCCGCTCGCTGTTCACCCTCTCTCACAGCCTCTCCACTCACACTCTGTTGCTTAGCCCCCGCCCAACTGTCCCTCCGCCATCCGCCATGGCGGCGTCAAACGTGTGGGGCAATAAAATCTACTCTGCTACCTATAGCAGTGTGAGTGTTTCTTTCTGTTTCTAGGCGCTTTTATGCAGCCACATATTTCCTCATTTGATGGCATGTAACTGATGCCTGCTGACGCCTGCTGGCTGGCTCTCTAGGTCCCGGTCTACGAGTTCAAAGTCGGTGATGAGAATGTTATGCGACGGAGATCAGACGACTGGATCAATGCGACCCATATCCTCAAGGTGGCTGGTCTAGATAAGCCTGCTAGAACTCGCATTCTTGAAAGGGAAGTCCAGAAGGGTGTTCATGAAAAGGTCCAGGGAGGATATGGAAAGTATCAAGGTATATATATATATATATATATATATTTTTTTTCAAGTCGTCTACATACCTTCTTGGGTGGGATGCTAGGCTCACCATGTCCGCTGAGCGATTGGGCTAATGAGGGTGCTAGGAACTTGGGTCCCTCTTGCAGAAGGGCGAAACCTGGCTGAGCGGAACAGGATTCTTGACAAACTCCTGCCGATTTTTGACTACGTAGCTGGCGATAGAAGCCCTCCACCAGCTCCCAAGCATACAACGGCCGCGTCATCGCGACCAAAAGTGCAAAAGAATGTTGCGCCAACTAGGAGACTTGTGTCTGAGGAGTCGTCATTTTCTCCCATGACACAACATGCGATCCCCCCGTCATCAAGTTTTAGCCAGGACCAGCAATTTGCTTCTGTCAACCAGTCTTTCCGTGATGATGAGTCAGTCGCACAAGCAAGTATCGAGTCGTCCTCCATGATAGCAGAGGACGATATGGTCCCAATGTCCCGGCATTCGATTCAGTCGCGGAAGCGAAAACGCGGTTTGAGCGACGTCAGTCTGAGCATAATTGAACAGCAGCATATCATCTATGGTGACCAGCTTTTGGACTACTTCATGACTGTAGGGGATGCCCCTGCTGCGACTAGGATATTGCCTCCAGAACCCCCGCCTAATTTTCAAGTTGATCGGCCCATTGATGACCATGGAAACACAGCTCTCCATTGGGCGTGCTCAATGGGCGACATAGATATCGTTCGAGATCTAATAAACCGTGGCGCAAATATAAAGGCATTGTCGAACCATGACGAGACTCCACTGGTACGTGCTGTGTTGTTTACGAATAATTACGAAAAGGGGACCATGCAGGAGTTAGCGGACCTTCTCCAAGACACAATCACTTTCAGAGACTGGTTTGGCGCAACTGTTTTCAATCATCTGGCTGCAACAACAAGGAGCAAGGGCAAGTGGAAGAGCTCGCGATATTATTGCCAAACACTGATGGAAAAACTGAATGATATTCTACCGCCTCATCAAATATCCCTACTCCTCTCTTCCCAAGATTCAAATGGAGATACTGCTGCGTTGGCAGCAGCAAAAAATGGATGCTACCGTCTTGCTACCATGCTTTTATCGCAGTGTCCCGAAGCTGGAGATATCAAGAACAAGGCGGGAGAGAGTGCCCATGCCGTCCTTCGAACTATCTCACGTCGCCATAACGATACCTCGCTCCCTCCGTCCTCTGTCACTCCGCAGAGCGTTGTCGATCTGGACCATCCCGAGTTAAATCATGTTTCTGAAAGAATAGCCGTTTCCCGACCGGCCACTACTGGCTCTGACGCTATCGCGTTACTCTTATCGAGAATAGGATCCATAGTGGAGGAGACTACTAGGAAACTTGCTTTAGCTTATGGCGAGGCAAAATGGCCTCCTCAAGGTACTGAGGACTTCACCAACCCTCAAGGGTTATACGAACATGTCGAATCCGATCGGGAAAATATCAGGAAACAATTAGCTTCTCTGGCAATGGAGAGTGACGCTGAAGATCTCGAAGCACAACTCGACCGTTTTAACAGAGTGAAACTAGATTACGAAGCACTCCTCGAACAAACACAACGGCTACGGCTCCTCAAACGTTTTCAAGAAGCGGGAGTCGGACTGGGCGTCGAAGCCAATGCAGATCCCAATCACCCTGCAAACACAAATTCCAACATAGAGAAATCCCCAACGGCAACCACAAAGAAGAAAACCTCGCAAGAGCTTACCGAAATCTACCATCTCGCCCGCCAGCTGGCCAACGCTCAACAAACCCGCCAACAAGCTATACAAGATCTCATACAGCAAAAGGCCGATGCGGGCGTGAGCACGAAGCTCGGCGTCCATCGCAAGCTCGTCTCACTTGCCACGGGTTTGCCGGAAGAGGAACTAGATCCAATGTCAAGTGAGCTTGCCAATGCGCTGGAATTTGACAGGGTGAACCAGAAAAAGGGGGAAGATTTTCCGTTGTTGGGTGATGGTGACGTTGGTGGGTTGGATGGGGAGGAGTATGAGCAGCAGCAACAGCAAGAATTTGCAGGCCAGCGTGACTCTGTGTCGACGTCCATGTTGATATCTATGACGCGCGGCATGGATGAGAGAGCTATTCCGAGCTGATTCTGGTTGTTTTGATCATTTTGACCTTTTTCTTATTTTATTTCTCTCTCTCTTCTCTCTATCACTGTTTTTTTTTTTCGGTGACCATACCCACCTAGTTTCGATTTCGAGACTATGATAGGGTGAGATGTACATATTTTTGTATTCGTCTTATTGAAAACCCCGCCACCCGCATTTCCGTTGCGTTGGGCTTGTGTATTGTATGGCTCTTAATTCGAGGTGTTATATGCAAAGTTCATCCACGTTCCTCGCCTCCCTCGTCAAATCAGGGGTTCGCCGACGCACGCACACCAACACACACATTTCCCAATTTCCCATCTGATCTTTGGACACTGCCATTTTAACTATTCGTTTTACCGGAACTGCCATGTTTGTTAATGTTTGGTGCTTCTCTTTCTCTTCTCATCTTCCTTCTCTGTTCTTATTTCCCCGCTCAGCAAGTCTCCTCCGACTCGCGGCAGCGGTTAGTGGTCACGATGTGCGTTCTCAAGTATCCCCTGTATCGCAAAGTAGCTTTCTTTGTTTTCATATCTGTTTCCCCG